AGAAGAGCGAAAGACTTAAGAAACAGTTCCCGCTGGAGCAGAGTGTACATTGTGCCCGACATGACACCAAATGAGAGGGAAGCGGACAGAAAGCTGCGACAGGAGCTCAAATCAAGGAGAGAAGCAGGAGAAGAAAACCTGGTCATCTGGCGTGGGCGTATAGTGTGCACGCAGACACCTCGGGAATCCCGGCCGCGGGACAGCCGCGATGACCATTCCCAAGCCTGACTTGATACGTACAACCACCCATCATGTAGAAACAGGAAAGAGAAAGGCAAATTGAACATTATGTACACAAACATAGACCAACTACCAAACAAGAGGGATGATCTCATGTTAGCCATAACAACAGAAGAGCCTGATGTGATCATACTTACCGAAGCAATCCCTAAGGCTCAGAGACTACCTCTTGGGGCAGCTAGAATCAGCATCCCAGGATTCACGGCGCACACGAATTTCAACCCTGACCAAGGAAAACCTCGGAGCACTGGGTCAGCGTGGGATAGTGATCTACACAGCAGACCACATCGATGCGACAGAAGTCTCCTACAATGATATTGAGTTCCAGGAACATTTGTGGGTACAAGTACGTTTGCAAAGGCAAGATAAGCTGATTATAGGAGGCATCTACCGAAGCCCATCCTCTGACCTAAGGTTGTCAACCGAACACTTGTCACACCTTTTACAAGTAGTTGTGGGGACCAGACCTACACACCTCCTAATCACCGGAGATTTCAACTACCCTGAAATCGAACTGGAAACAAACAACCTCACGTGCAAATGATGCTCACCCTTCCCACCAATTTCTACGCTGTGTGCATGAAAACTTGCTGTACCAGCATGTCTTCAAGCCGACTAGATACCGACCTGGAGAAGTACCGAACGTTCTCGACCTTGTTTTAACAAATGAAGATGGAATGGTGGAAAATATTGAGTACTTACCAGGCATTGGACAGAGTGATCATATACGGCTGCAGTTCGAAATCAAGCTGTACACTGAGAGAAAGGACAACTCAAAGCCAAGGCTCAATCTGTACCGCGGCGACTATGCCAGTATAGCTGCAGACTTAGCTGGTATTGACTGGGACACTAGACTCGAGAACAAGTCTTTTGACGAAGCGTACAGTGATTTTAAAAACGTTCTGCAAGCCAGTATTGATTCACACATTCCCCGGACTAGTAAGAAATCATCCAAGAGGAATTTGTTCGCAACCCGTGAAGTAAAGAAACTCAGCAAGAAGAAACGGGCTAGTTGGGACCGGTACACTATCTCTGGAGACGAGGTGGATTACGCACGTTACTCTGCTACTCGCAATGACCTCAGAAGCCTCACTAGAAGACTCCGATATGAGTTTGAATCCAACTCGTTCGGGATTTAAAACAGAACCCAAAGTCATTCTGGAGATATGTTAACTCTCGTCTGAAAACAAAAACTACAATTGGAGACCTAAAGAAGGCGGACGGCACCATGACTAGTAGCAACAAAGAGAAAGCAGACACCTTAAACCAGTACTTCTGTAGTGTGTTCACTGAGGAAGATACCGACAACATGCCTTGTATGGAAGCCATGTACCATGGATCTCCTCTGGAAGATATTCCAATTACGCCTGAAATTGTCTTGAAAAAACTGAAAAAAGCTTAAGAAGGGCAAGTCACCTGGACCAGACGAGTTGCACCCTAAGATTTTAGCCGAAGTTGCGGAAACCGTAGCCAATCCACTTGCTCTCATCCTTCGAAAGTCACTAGATGAAGGCCGCCTGGCAGACGAATGGAGAACTGCCCACATAACTGCCATTCATAAGAAGGGACCGAAGACCGAACCTGGAAACTACCGCCCAATAAGTCTCACATCTGTCATCGTGAAACTCTTCGAATCTGTTCTAAGGGACGCACTTGTAGAACACATGATGTTGAATGATCTGTTCTGTGACCAACAGCATGGTTTTGTGCCCGGCAGATCGTGTACGACACAGTTGATTACCACCATGGATCAGTGGACCCGGGCGGTGGAGGAAGGTGAACCTCTGGATGCCATTTATCTTGATCTTAGAAAGGCGTTTGACTCGGTTCACCATGCTCGCCTGATGTACAAACTTAGCCAGTATGGCATCAGCGGCAAGTTACATGCCTGGATCCAAGCGTTCCTAACAGACAGAAGACAGCGAGTGTGTATTGATGGTGACATGTCGGACTGGGTGAAAGTAACAAGTGGAATTCCCCAAGGATCTGTACTAGGACCATTTCTTTTTGTTGTTTTTATTAATGACATGCCCAGCGCTATCAGCAGCACCTGCTACCTCTTTGCGGACGACGCCAAGGTGTTCCGTCGTGTTAATTCTCCAGACGAGGTTGCCACCTTACAAGCAGATATCAACAACTTGGCAGTGTGGTCTAAAGACTGGCAACTCTGTTTTAACATCGAGAAGTGCAAATGCATGCACATTGGGTATGGTAACCCCTGCCAGGAATATGAGATGCAAGGCCGCACCTTGGAAGATACTAGTGAAGGGCAGGATCTGGGTGTGATTGTTGACAAGAAACTGAAGTTCCACGCGCACTGTAATGCCGCTGCTGGCAAGGCATTCCGAACGCTGGGATTGATCAGGAAGAGCTTCCAACGTCTCGATGAAACAACTGTGCCCTTGTTATATAAAACTATGGTCCGTCCTATAATCGAGTACGGAAATGCAATATGGGGTCCTTACCTCAAAGGAGACCAGGAGCTGCTTGACAGAGTCCAGCACAAGGCAACGCGACGTTATACCTGGATTTGACGAAATCAGTTATGAGGACAGACTACGGCGCCTGAAACTCCCTACCCTTGGTTATCGCCGTAAAAGAGGCGACATGATCCAGATCTTTAAGTTCGTCAAGGGTTTTGACCGCGTTGACCCGAACAGCCTGTTCAACTTCAACGTTGATGGACGCACGAGAGGTCACTCGTACAAGATAGTCAAACCTCAGGCCAAGAAGTCAACCAGAGCTAACTTCTTTAGTGTTAGGACAGTGAATTCTTGGAACAGTCTACCGGCCGAAGTTGTAGCTGCTGAAACTGTTAATAGTTTTTAAGTCAAAGATAGACAATTTCTGGAAGGGAAGGAGTACAACACTGACTTTACATAAGAAACTCCCAAAAACTCTCACATTTTAACTCTTCAGAACTGAACTTTATATTACAACTGAACTTTATATTTAGTACTGGACTTTATAGTTAGAATTGAACTTTTTATCAGAACTGAACTTTATATTTAGAACTGGACTTTATAGCTAGAACTGAACTTTATATTAGAATTGAACTTTATATTTGTGTTTTAGAACTGAAACTTGTGTTTAGAACTAAACCTAAAATTTGTGCTAGAACTCAACTTTATTTAAGCTTAGAACTGAACTTTGTGTTGTTTAAACGTTTAGCTTAAGAAGCGGATTTATATAGGCTATATAGCCTCTTTATCCGACCATTATTATATATGTATATATATGTATATGTATATGTATGTGTATGTACCGTGGCCGACAAGTACAAAATTTTACACCGCAACTTTTGGTGTTTTACACCGCAACTTTTGGTGTTTTACACTGCAACTTTGGGTGTTTTACACTGCAACTTTTTCTGTGTTTTACACTGCAACTTTTGCTGTGTTTTACACTGCAACTTTTGCTGTGTTTTACACTGCAACTTTTGGTGTTTTACACTGCAACTTTTGGTGTTTTACACTGCAACTTTTGCTGTGTTTTATACTGCAACTTTTGCTGTGTTTTACACCGCAACTTTTTGTGTTTTACACTGCAACTTTTGGTGTTTTACACTGCAACTTTTGGTGTTTTACACTGCAACTTTTGCTGTGTTTTATACTGCAACTTTTGCTGTGTGGAAAACTTACACCCCTCCCCTTTTATAATGGACGGTCCCCCTGTCAGGTCAAAGGTGACAAAGATGGCGGCGGCAAGTCACAAGCTGACGTCTAGGGACATTAAAATGAAGAAAAACGATGTCCATACCCAATAATAATGAACTAACCTGCAGAAAATTTATATCATTGCTGTTGATGTCTGGAGCTGGATATCTGACGTCCTTGATAAATTTGTTGTGACGCATGGCAGCAAAAAGCAACATAATTTTTAATCACTGGACCTGGTCGAACATTTTTAAATTTATCCCGGTCTATAGGCCAAAGCTAGAAAAACCTTTAGAAAAAAAACTAACGTCACAACGTAGCCAAGCTTTTCCTCTAAAAAACTTATGCACGAAAAGGATAACTCAGTCGACGTAGTTTGCATGCCATCGTTGTCAACTTTGACCTGACAGGGGGACCGTCCATTATAAAAGGGGAGGGGTGTAAGTTTTCCACACAGCAAAAGTTGCAGTGTAAAACACAGCAAAAGTTGCAGTGTAAAACACAGCAAAAGTTGCAGTGTAAAACACCAAAAGTTGCAGTGTAAAACACCAAAAGTTGCAGTGTAAAACACCCAAAGTTGCAGTGTAAAACACCAAAAGTTGCGGTGTAAAACACCAAAAGGTGCGGTGTAAA